CGCTATGTCCAGATGCAAATGTTCGCTTACATTACGGAATAATTCTTGATAAAATGACCAGAACAAAGATGGTATGCGAGTGTTGACAAGAATACTTGTCGGTGGACCACCAATGACATGAAATGGTGGTCGATATTTTGTCGAATGCCGACGTTCATACTGTTCATTACCGAGTGCATGATCTAGACAACGGTCACATAGATATATGCATTCATGACGAGCAGAATAGACACCTACTAGGCACATTGGCTAGCAGGAGAAACGGCAGTTCACTTTCCCCTGCTGCCGGAAACGCAGGCAGCACCATGTTACGCTTGCAATCCGATCGTAATGTACGCGGCTCATAAGATGCTTGAGAATGTGTCGCAGCAACAGACATATGATTTAAATCGTCGACTAACGTCACGGCCAATGTTCCGACTTCATTGACTGGTGTGCGCAAATCAATGATGTCATCCTCAAGATCATCCATGTCCATGTTTTCAGTTTGAATTGACACATCCTTTTCTTGTTCTACGACATCAACCAATTGACTAGTTCGAATTGAATCGAACCGAATTAACAAGCAACAACTCACTTGGAATGACGATAACATGACGCATACTCGCCAAAGACTTGTTGTTAATAGTCAATAGGTTGCATTTTTCCTCTCGCGATCTCGATGATGATGTTCATGACGGCTCTTATGCTCCGTTCGCGCCAATCCTGTCAATTTGAGCAATGATGACGATCTTGCCGATGACGACGACGACGACGAAACAGACCGTGAACTTTTTCGATTCGTTGATGGCATAACAAATATGTATATCTGAAACAGAGATGCATATGGCACTACGATATTTTTCTTTTCACTTCTATTCAGTTTCATGTTCATCTAGAAAATTAACAACAGATGAAAAACAAACGAATAAAAACGTCATTTTCTATTGAACCATGAAGTCGAACTCTTAACATTCCATTTGTTCTTGATCATCATCATTTTCGTCTTCGTCTTCCTTCTTCTTCGAAGCAGGACCCAACACGGCATCACTATCATCGTCGTCGTCATTGATGACGATAGTCGTCAGCTGATGCTCTACTGATACCGGTTCGTCTTGTAGAGTTGCTGATATATAATTAAAATAATTTTCAATTATCATATTAGATAACTGCTCCTCTGTTGGATATTTAGCTATCATCTCCTGAACCCAATCATGCAAATACGATGAAGACGATGATGACGATGACGACGATAACGAAACTGCCTCATCGATGCTCTCGTCCAGTTGTATGCTCTATAGGAAACAAAACAGCAACAATATAGTATTTTGGAACGCATTCGACAACACACACCTCATTGACAATCACGTCAGGATCTTCTGTGATGCAATATTCTTCTCGTAAGATTTCACATCTCTTCACTTGCCGATCAGTTCGAATTGGCAATGTTATTACATGTGGATGCGTCGTGGCCCCGTCGTTCACATAACTCTGTGCATCGCTTGCTGAAGAAACTTGCTGCTGCCATCCGATTGGCAATAGCGTACGATTGTTCTCTTCGGCTTGATCCAATGCACGCGACATGTTGTTTATTTCCAATCAATATACAAATCTAGAACATCAAAACACAACAAAAAATGTATTTATGTTCGCTTTAAAATCTCATTTCGTTTCTTTTATTTTTGCTAGTTAAACATATGACAAAAAATGCTCTCAGCACACCAACGCTTAATGCTTAGTTTGACTTCACATTATTGCTGTCGCCGCTGCTACCATTACCAACACCATCATTGCCTATTTGCTCAAACAGATCCAAATCGAACTCCAATCGCACAGTAGCAGCAGCAGGTGGTGATGATGATGATGACGACGGCGACGACAAAGTGAGACGGCCTAGTTCCAATGCTAACGGTGATGAATAGTTGACCAATACAGGTGTCTGCCTCAACGATCTATATTGTTCGGCCGACCATCGATGATACCGTGCATGTAGATACGATTCAGAAAGAGAATATCCAAATAACCTTGCAGCTTTCTGAAAAACGCATCAACATAATACACACTCTATGGTCACTTGCGTAGCAACACATACTTCTTCCAGCATTCGTTTTCTTTTCCTTTGTTCTTCACTACCATCAGTTGACTGCGACCGTGCTACAATCGGCTCGTCGGATGATGATGAAGCTGTTAAGCCGTTCATTGTACAGTGTCCGTTCGACTTGTTTTTCTTTCTTTCTTTATCCCGATCCGAAACAGATGCTGTTAATCTGAAACGAAATTTTATAAAAAGCAAACAACGAGCTGTTACACTAAACATATACGGAGCAGTCTCTTTTATTTCAGCAGTAGTTCTATGAAGAACTGTCGATGACAAGTACAACGATAACAAAAAACAAAACATCTCAGCTATTGACTATCATCAATCTCTGGCGTTGATATCGTTGTTGTCGTTTGATTTAGAACAGCCAGCATTTGTATGTCGACTTGCTCCATTTCTTCTTCTTCGATCTCGACATGATGTACCGCCTCGATATCATACTAAGCACATCGAAAAACATATCATTCAGTCATCTTTTCGAATCAATATCTATAGACAAATGATATGTTACCATACCCAGTGCATAGTTTGACTTTCATCTTCTTTGCTGTCATTCTCGTTCGAGCTGACATCTGAAGTTGTCGCCGAAGCAGCAAATCCATCATCGGACAGCTTATGTTCGCTGACCGAATTAGATTTGTCACTGTTGGTCATGTGCAGCTCTAGACCGTCCACAATCGTTGCTACATGTGTCGATGGTTGTTGCCGTGCATCATCGACCATGTTTGACATATCCATTGCAAGTGAATTCGCTGACGATGATTGTTCATATTACATGACATTAAACAATATCTAGAACACTGACAATGCATATTTTCGTTTACAGACATATGTTTCAAACGTCACATGAGTTTAATGACAAGTTATAACAGAGACATATCGTTATGGCACGACCGATATGTTTCCGCTATAAAACCAACCTTTGTGCTAGAGAACACCATTGCCCTGTTAGCCGTCAGCAACAATGACGTTACCATCCGACACTACGTGGAAGTAAGAGTTGGCTTTTGTCGGAC